TTATAAAACTCGTAAATTAGGTTTGGGTATAAATTACAAAATTCGTAAATTAGGTTTAGGTATAAATTACAAAACTCGTAAATTAGGTTTAGGTATAAATTACAAAACTCGTAAATTAGGTTTAGGTACAAATTACAAAACTCGTAAATTAGGTTTAGTTATATTATTCATATTTATATTAATTATATTTATTTAATTAATATATTTGCATTAATATAAATTATATTAATATTATATTTATATTTATATTAATATAAATTATATTAATATTATATTTATATTATATATTTACATTACTACATTATTATTTCCCCAAAGTAGTCAAAAGACTGGAAAGAAAAGTTTTCCAAAAAAATTCGATCGAAACGAATATTAGCCCCCAATATTAATTTTCAAGCAGAGAGTGTGTAACTTCCAATCTCACCCTGCAGCGAGAGGTGAATTTATAATTGGTATCGAAGTCGTTACACAATTGCTTGGTATTCGTCGACTGTTAAAACCAACACCGACGACAGAACAGTCAGGTAAACAATTTACCGCGATACTGCAATCGTTGTTCGACGATTGATCGAGAAGAAACGCTCGGGATGAATAAATTTCCCACGCGCGTAATTACAGAAATTACATGGCTATTACTCGGCTCCATTATGGCCGATCCGATTCGAGATCTCCGCCAATTAATCGGGTCATCTGTAATTGTCACGTCCAAGGACGCGCCTATACGCGAAGTTGCCATTATTACGTGCGTACAGCATACCTACTTGCGTATACGCGGCGCGCGGATGTCATCGTTGAAACAAAAGCAGCTTCGCAGCTAGATCCGGGACAAAACGACTACGTTCCTCTCTCCCATCTTTAGGAGGAGGAACTGCGTAATCAGGAATCTCTGGGCTGGAACGCGTGTACATGCATGGTGGCTCGTATTCACGGCTCGAATAAAGCCAACGAGTGGTTCGCGTGTACAATGCTGGATAAAGTAAATGTACGGTGCTAGATAAAAACTATTTAATAAATATGCAGAGCGAGGGCACCTAAAACCAGAGGCTGAAATATCTCTGGAACGATTAATTATCTTCAAAATATGTTTTACACAAGAATGAAATATAATAGTTAGTCGACAGAAGCGTTAATCGATGTAATTGGTATTTTTTTTTTTTTTGTTAATGGTTTATTTATAAAATATTTTGTATTGGTATTTTTTTAATACGTTGACTTTTTAATACGTTAGCTCGTCGAATGTCGACTTTGAACAACTATCGCGCTGTATTATTTTAAAGTTTGACGTGGTTTAACATTTTTTTTAATTTTTTTAACGTAAAAATATGCAATGTTACCTGAAAAAGAAATGAAAAAAATTGACTTTCAAATACTTTCTATGCATCGGCGTTGAAACATATCAATTACGTCAATTAATTTCGAAATCGTTCAAGTTTTGTTTAAAAAACTTTTTGTTTCGTTGAAATATTTCTTGATACAATTAGTCGTTTCGAAAATGTTTCAATTTCTAGTTTCAGATGACTCGCCCAAATCGGGATAAAAAGGTATTTGAAATGAAAAATAAAAATATTCGCAGAGATTATTACTTACGAATTGTTGCATAGGTTAATTTTGAATAATTATTAAATATTTGAGATATTTATACTAAATTTCACTAAATTTCAGAATATATTCATTCGTGTGTTTCAATTGAATAATTGAATTACGAAATTATTCAGTATATATAGTTATACGTTATTATTATTAACATTATTATTAACGTTATTATATAAAATTATATAATCAATTATTGATTAATTGATTATTTTTATAATTAATTAATAATTATATATTTGTATATTATTTAAAATTTTTTACGAATTCGATCTCTTCCATGTTTGGAACTTTCTTATTTTCGTCATTATAAGTAGGAGTAATAAATCTCTGTAATTACTTTTGTAGTTTATATCCAGCAAAAATAAAATTCAATAAATATGTCAGAAATGATCCAACGATCCCGCGAAAATTAAATAGCAAACGTGTGTTAATCTAAAATTGAAAATCCACTTAATTCACGAAGATAAAATATTATTTCAAACAACAAATAGCAAATGGTCTATCTCACTTTGAATCGTATGAAAATAGTATATTTTATTCGTTGGGAATGGTTTTTGAAATAACATTTGAAATTATATTTAATTGGAGGATACACTTAGGATAGTGAAACTTTTATTTAAAATATTTATTTTATTTTATTTTCTCTCAGCTGGCAACGATCGAATATTATTTCTGCAATATTTCTCTTCGATATTCTTAATTGTATAAATGTTTCCTCAATTTTTTGGTATTTGTCTTTAGTGGCAAATACAGTTAGTAATTATATTAAACAAACAATATTGAAAGCTTTAGAAGAAGTAACAACTCCAGGTGTACAAACCAATCCTCTTTATTTTTGCAAAGCGACGATGCAAAGACGATGTGATAATTGTTGCAATACTTGAGTGACAATGATTCTCGAATTCAATATATTTTTAAAAAATTATTTCTTTGGAAGTTTTTTACTTTCTCTAACCAAAGTGACGGAAAAGCAAACTTATTTACTTAAAAAAATTAATAAATTAAACACGGAATTATCGAAGTGATCAAAATGACTAATTCATGATTCCTTTTCAGATAAATTACAGATACAGAACAGTGTATTTTTAGAAGTTTAAATGATTTTTTTTATAAAATACACGAATAAAAGTTTGTGTATTCTATTTCACTTTAATACCTCTAATGAAAATTCTATCCTTTAGTCCTTGGTAGTTCCAGTATTAATATTGTTCCTTTCCCTAATTTATTTTTCTCATTTAAACCGAACTGTAAATATTTTACTGATTTGATTTGGCCAAATGAAAATCTTACTTTCTATTTGAAATGGCATTCTGCTTGAATTTGACAAAATTTTGCCCAGCTTCGTGCACCATTGCCGAGGTGTCTTTGTTATCCTTCCCAACCACCGTAACTGCAATCATTCACAAGTGTCCAAATACTCGTGCTCGGTGAATGCACGTTGCACACGCACGTGTACGAACACACACACACACACACACACACACACACACGAGAACTCGATCAAGCGCGTGAAGAGTGAAAGGATCGGATGTGAGAAGCGCGAGAGAGGGTGGAGACAAGCGGGCGCAACAGTCTCTCGCGACTAGATCGGGAGGATGGGTAGATAGGAGAGAGCGACGAGAGAAGTTGGCTGGTCGTAAACGGCAGGAGGGAGAGACAGGTGGCATCAAATTATTGCAAACAATTACGTTTAATGAGAAGGTTAACGCTGCCGGTCGGGGTGGGTGGCGCGAACGTGGATGCAAATGTGCCGACGCCGAGTAATTAGCAAACAGAGCGTAGTCCTCAGCTGGCATCCCTCCTTCGTACCCCATCCTCCTTTTCTCGTCTCTCTCTCTCGTTCAACGGACGCCATCTTCGGCGACGACGTTTCAAAATGTGCAAGGCGAATCGACCGACTTCTCTCCTCTGGCTTCCTTACGCGTGTATCGCGCCTACAGGTGGATATATGGTTCATACGTGTGTGCGTGAACAGGGAATGATGCACGCGACGCCCCTGTCTCACGGGTATTTGTGCAGCCTCCTTCCTTGCATGTCTCTCTTTCTCTCTCTCTCTCTCTCTCCCTACTGTCACGCCAGAGCCCCTTGAGATTCTTTAGGAAATGTCACCTGCAACAACGAACATCCCCCCTTGTCCAAATCTTGATATTTTGGAAGGTATACAGGCTGGATCACTTGGATTTAACCACTTGCGCTGGCAGCTGGTCCGCGGACCGTAACGAGTGACCAAACCATATGTATAATAATTCGAAATTTTCACCGATCGAAAACCAACGACTTTAATTATAAATTATTGTTTTCAGATAAAAGGTTCATATTATAGTGTATGTACATTTTTTGGATTCTACAATTTCCTCGGAAAATGGATTTTTGTCACTCTCAAAATAAATGGTTCGTGTCTTTTCACAAAGATAACTGTGTATTCACTTGTGTATACTTGGAAGTAGTATTGTACAAGGCTCGAGTCATGCATTCATGAGTTCATTAAGATGTGTGAAATTTATTGTTGTGAAAGTTATTTATTACGATAGAGTATATGCCTCTGTACGCAGACACTAATACTCACTATTCAGTCATTGGAATAAATATTTGACTGTCAATTTGTTCAGAGATAAATTCTCAACATTCAAAGACAAGAACTTGAAATAGTTAGAGACAAGAACTTTCCATTCAATTATTCGAAAACAAACTACTTATGTTCCATTCCTTCGTTTAGGCATATTTTCCAAATTTCTTTATATTGTTAATAATAATGACTTCTTATGGATTGTAGGTTAGTGCACAAGTCAATAAATTCTTAGTACACAATTCTTGGTGTATAAATTCTTGGATTCACAAGTCACTTACTCTATATGTAGGTTCAAATAAATTGGTTCAACCAGCACGAGTTCATTCTAATATTGGTCAAATTAGTATTGCACGAAGCTCGAATTTTCGAAGTTTCAAGTTTAAATGCTGAGTTTTCAAGACTATCATTACACGAAGTTTAAGCTTTTAACACCTTGCGCTGGCAGCTGGTCCGCGGACCATAACGAGTGACCGAACCGTGTACAATAATTCGCCACTTTCTGTTTCTTTTGAACACGTCGGTATGATATCACTGGATAGAAATTATTGAGAAGTAATAAATTTATTATTTGTTTTGCCTGGGTTATATTTAAATATACTTGAAACTGAGAAAATATTGCAATTTTCAAGCAAAAAATTCTCAACGTGCGTGGCACGTCATTCCAGCGCAAGGGATTAAATCTAAATAACTCTGTTGCTTTTGGAGACGTGGATGAACTTTGTTAATGAAAGTTATTCCTTACTAAGGGGGCCATGATGTGGCAGTGATGATTTTTTTTTATAGGCATCGTACAAAAGACAGAACCTGAAAGACGAGGACCTGCTACTTTTATTATATAATAAACATATTATTTCTAATTTTAGAATTAATTCATATATTGATCGTATCGTTTCGTTTGTATCATTAGAAATCTGAATGAATTACAATTAACGAATCAATTTGTAAATAGTTTGAAGTTTATGATTCGAGTCGTGAGATCAAAATATATACTACACATTCATCAATATTAATTGCATGCTTATGTTCAAGTCACGAACAGTCATAACTTTTCGAGTATCAACAACAAAAATTTGCGAGAGTGGAAAATATAATTTAATAAATTATATAGCTGTAATATACATAATAGAAATGATATTATAATATAATAATAATATATAACGTGAATATAATATTTAATAAATTTTTTTAATGTTTTGTAATGATAACACTATTCAGATAATGCTATTCAGATTTTTGCTAGAAATTATTATAATATTATCAATATTATAATGTTGTTATAGTTATGATAATATGATTCAGATTTTTGCGATGATTTAGCGATTCAGAATCGCTAAAAATAATCAACTTTTATCGAAAAGTATAAATAAATGTATACTTGCACTTACATACTAAACACAAATAAGTGTGAACCGTAAACGGATGTCACTCGTGTCCAACAGAGGAACTTTGACTACGTGCCGTATCTAATGTGTTCAATTGACTCCTATCGTCAATGTTACTCGTCTTTTTTCGTTTTCCAAGAAGGAAACTATTGACGAGCGAACATTTTTCGCCTGTTCCTGATATCTCGACCTTCGATCTAAATTTGACACCAAATGATTGAGATATCGGTTACAAAAAATCTTTCAGCAAAGCCGACAGTTAGTTTGTGGGATATGGTTTAAAAAAATACGCATCGATTTACGAAAAGTATTAAAAATTGTTAAATCGAGAATTTGTAATATTTTTAATCGAAAATTTTTTATTTCTGTCCTAACAACGAGTTTGAACTTGAACTCTTAATGAATATATTTTCTTTTACATATAGAAATTTATACTTGGCTCAACTTAGAAATTCGTTGTGACGAGCGTGTCATCATTAAATTGTGGATTTTTATGCAAGTTTGTATTTTTGAGAACATAATTGAAAAATCGTTTTGTAAGTATTTGCGAATATTGAAAATATTTTTTACGATTTTTCATATCATGTGCATTCTGTGCAATTTTTTACTTAATTTTTACTTAAATTTAAAATTTCCTACGAACACATGAAAATCCGCAGTTCGCTCGTCACAAGCTTGATACCAAATTCAGATTTTCAAAAAATTAAGGAAAACAGGCGTTTCTTTCCGATCAGTCTTTGCTCGGTTAGATACAAAAAACACCTAAAAATCCTAATCGATATAAAAGTTAATTATTTAGAAATAATAAAAAATCGAGTATGTCAAGAAAATTATTCCACTATTTTTGAAAGAAACGGGAAAATATAAATTCATAAAAATCAAAAACTTTTCCAGATACAGGACTTGAAAAAATTGTTGAAAATAGTTTCCTTCTGCAGCAATACATGTTCAAAAAACAATCGAAAATGTTTAGAAATTTCTAGCGTGTTCCGTGTCTTTTCATAGATAATGATGTAATCTTTCAAAATTTTCGGTTTTGAAATGTAGCAAATGAGAATTTAAAGAATTTAAACAGAGCTTCTATTAATTTTAATATATATTTATTAATATAAAATTATTTTAATATATATATATATTTATTAATATAAAATTATTTTGATATATATATTTATTAATATAAAATTATATATATATTTATATTTATATTTATATTTATATATTTATATATTTCATTTTTTATATATTTATATATTATCATTGGAAAAAAGAGTTTTCAAACTTACGTTACCAATTCTTTTTCGATTCCTTAGATAATAGACAATAATCTACTTTTGACATCTTGCATAATAAGAAACAATTGAAACACTGACTTGATACGAATTGTATTTTTCGAGATGTTCGATCGATCGCCATGGAGAAGCAATATAGTGCGATAAAAGCACAGGTGCGATCAGATTTTCGTGGCGTTTTGAGTCTGGTAGGAAATGTAATAGAGACTTGCTGTGCCGAAAACTCGCGGTAGGAAAGATACGATGATTTACTTTCTGCGGAAGAAAGCCAGACGAAACTGAAACGCGGAACCACTATTCTTAGTACTCGTACTGTAACTTCATTTTTATGTACATTTCAACTATACATATATCGGCCAAATGATTTTTAATTCGATAATTCTGAGATTTAACATCAGTTAGTCTGCGGATTTTTATTCAAATTCAAACTTTCATATTTTGTGCAAATTGAGCTATGGTTTTATAACGTAGAATCGACATCGTATCAATCCTCCCACCATCAGAACAATAATATTTTAGTATAACTGTTTTAGTAGAACTACTTTGTTTCGTGTATTAAATTTTTGTGTTATACGTATTATTATATTGTATGACGTGTTTGTGCAAAAAGAATTCACTAATTTACAAAGATACAAATTTTTATTAAAAAAGTATCGAATTAATACATACATATATATGTGTATATATATATATATATAATATTTTAATTTATTGAATTAATACATATATATATATTTTTTTTAATTTATCGAATTTTTATTTATTAATCTAGCTGGGTCATCTAGCAAATGAGATCTATGATTAAATAACATATCAGAGAAGATATCGCGAGAAGATGTGGCGATTTTTCAAAAAATTATTATATCTAATTTTAAATATAATTCCGTGTTTAATTCCGTAATAAATCAACATTTCATGAGTAACGAAGATATAAATATCTCTCAATTTTCTCATGATGAAAATACAAAATCTTCTTATGTTAAAATATTCAATATAATTAATGAAGAAATTCAACGATTCAGGTTACTTTACCTATTTAAAAAATTGAATTATTTAGCAGCTAAAAAAGAACTCTGAAGTATCGAAAATTTTTTTTATATTCGTTTTTAAGTATCAAAATAAGCAATTTTTTATTGTTTGAAAATTCTGCTATACGATTTTATTTGAAAACAATATCGTGATAGTTATTATGTAGCTTCGAAGCTTAACGATTTTATATTTCACCTTAAATAATTATACTTATTTTATATTTTTTCTTACTATATTTTATATTTTATACTTTATACTTTATACTTACTATATTTTATATTTTATACTTTATATTTATACTTACTATATTTTATATTTTATACTTTATACTTTATACTTTATATTTTATATTTTATATTTTATATTTTATATTTTATCTCTAACAGTATCTCTAAAAATGATCAAATGTGTAACATATTTATGCGACTCGATTTAAATCGCATTGTAATTCATCGTCCGCAAAATTTTTCTCAATACTACTTGGAACTAGTATTTCTCTGCAATACTACTGTTTAACAATTGGAACATTGATAGTCTGCCTGAATCATTTTTATTTCATTCATAATTTTCTTTCTTTTTTCGTAGAAGATTAGTAATTGCATTTTACGACCTGTGTACAATGCTTGAAATTTTTCATTGTAATATTTTGCAGATCCGACATCCGCTGTTGCTTTATTTATGAAAGTTCTCGATTCCACTATTTATAATTCGTATAACAAAAATTAAGTTGAACATTTTGTTCCACACAAATACACGATTGCTCCTTGTATTATAATTTGCCATTTTTTGTCTACTTTGTATTAGATTTATTAGATTTAAAAAATTATATTTTTGGTTTATTCGATATGATTAGATTTCTGTCTACTTTACATCAGATATTGATTCACATACATAGATGGTCTACCAAAAAATAAAAAAGAAAAAGAAAAAGTGACCTGTGTTATTAACAGAAATAAGAAAAAAAATCATCGTATCATACATTCGGTACTCGATGAAAAATTATCGACATTTTAAACTGTTTCAACTTCATGAAATGAAATCGTGTATAAGTCTAGCTAAGTTAGTTAATAAAATCTCTATTATATTAGTCTCGTGTTTCCTTTTCCGAAAATGTTTTTACATCGTGCATCATGACTCTATAAAAATTTCAGTGCCTCCAAAGTGACTGAAAAATGTTTTTCACGATTAAAGTTTTTCTTTTACATTAACTTTTCAAAATTCACTCCACGATCTTTCTTCGCCATTTTATTGAACCTTAAATATCGGAGTTAAACGATAAAAATTCAAGAAATCCAAACATTTTTCCCAATGCTCGAGATTGAGAAAAAAAGAATGGTACAGCAAGTTTTAAGATTGTCGTAAAAAGGAAAGACTTCGATCTTCAAGACCATGGTAAATTCAAACATGAGGAAAATTTTTTAATATTTTCGAAGGTTTTGAATAAAAAAAGTGTCCCTGCTTGCTCTCCTGCTTGCTATATGACGTGAAAATATCTTTGAAAAGAACTGATCTGGAGCTGTCAAAATGGCGACTTCGCGTTTCAAAAGGAGGCCAATTGAATTACACGACTTTTTTTTATGAAATTATAACAGTATTTCATCGAATTTGCGAATATTTTCGTCTACCTTAGTGTGTCATCTGAAATTCAACGGAAACAGAAACAATAATACTGACTATCTTATCTCAATTTTCCCTACAATTTTACTTGTAAATAACGACATACGTGATATACATAACGACACACAGACATACTTAAACTGACAGGTGCCCTGGAAGTACAAAACACTCAATTAGGCACTTCATTCGCTCTCTAAACCTAACCAAAATCCCAACATAATTTCAAAAGACTTAAACGAAATTATTATAATCATAGATATAGATCGATGAACTCACTAACTCCACCATTTCTTGAACAATGAAAATTACGATGCTCAATTAACAACTATTAACCAGTAACTCACTGTAACTATAGGGTGGTCACTCAAAGACTGAATGATATAAAATAAAACTAACTTTTACAAGCAAAATTGTCTTTTAAATTTTTCATTATTCTATTTGGATATATAATTAATGAATTTTTTTCAGTATCTTTCCTATAACCTACAAGAAAAGAAAATACAGAATATTGAAAATGTACAGATTACGACTTTTTCAAGTCTATCACTCTATAGTAACGTAAGTCACGCTCAACCACTTGCGCTGGCAGCTGATTGCGGACCATAACGAGTGACCGAACCGTATACAACAAATCGTCGCTTTCTTTTCGAACTCGTCGGTACGACGTCGATACGATGGATAGAAATTATTATTAAGAAGTAATAAATTTATTATTTGTCCTGCCTGGATTATATTTCAGTATAACTTAAAACTGAGAGAGTATTCGAATTTTGGACAATAAAAAATTCTCGACGCGCGTGGCACGTCGTTCCAGCGCGCAAGAGATTAAAAGTCACTAAAACTAGTCACTGTTGGGACAAGATGCGATACAATTTGAATTGCAAAGGAACATTGAACAAGCTACAACAACGATTAAAACAACGAAACTTGCACCAAGCTTGCACCAAGGTCCTCGATTCTCTTACCCGACTCGGCAAAACACGTTATCGGCCCGTTATATATTTCCTCGAGTCTTGCGCGTATCGATTGCAAGTACGTCGTTAAGGGTTAACGCGACGTCATCGTCGCGAACTGTTGAGCATTTTCGAGAGGAATGTTTTGACATGACAGTTGTCACAGGCAATCGGTGGCCCGTCGGTGAACAGGATTCCCACGTACGTGTGCATAACGTAGTTATAGGGACGGTCCGTCAACAGGATGTCTGCGTGAGGATAGTTGCTGTTACAGTGACAGTTCGTGACGTGACTGCACGGGCGGATCAGAAATCACGTGCAAATCTGCCGTACGAAACATAACACACCCTTTCCAAGTATGTCAGCCTAGTGTTATCGATGCGTTTAAGCAAGTATCATCGCAATAGGTATACACGCTTCGAGAACAAGCCGCCGCCACGGGTGATTCTTGTTATTTAGATCACTACGACGATTCCTGCTGTCCCTCGACGATTTACGAACGGTCGTCATTAATGGTTTGACTACGGCAGACTTTGAGACGTACCAGACGTACCATACGGTAGGAATTCACCGACCTACGCGTCGAAATTTTTCATTTGGCGTGCATTTCTGAGACAGTATATTGAAACAATCGAAACACTGAATTCCACTACAACCAATATTATATATTTATTCGTATTCCGTGTTGAATTGTTAGTGCACGTACTAAAAATTCAACATCAACGTTAAGCTTTTTATAACAATCGTCAAGGAGATTTAGAAATAATCGTTAGGGATATATGTAACAGTCACTAAGGAGATAAACACACAGTCAAGTAATTAAAAAAGAGAGTTTGAGCATAGAGAGTAGTTCAGTTGATTCGTTGTAATTTACATTGTACAAGAATATATATTCTTATTTAATATACGTTCTAAAAATAAAGAACGTGGTTATTCTTTCAGTTTGTAGTACGGTGATTGTACCAAGTTATTAAATAATTACATCGTATCTACAAAATATGAATATATATACCATGAATCATTTCTTGTGTCATGTTTGCTTTTTCTGACCATTTTATTATTCCAATTTTTCATTTTGAGGATGTGAAAAAAATAACTGTAAAATAAATAACTGTAAATGTTTGAATAATATATGACTAACGGAATATGTAATTGTTGAATTAGCATTTACTTACGTCTGGTTCAAATGAGATTTGCTGAAATTATGGTCTCTTAACAAGGTTTTTGAAAACCACGTTTTCATAGTCCCTTTTCGTCTAATCTATACTATATAAGTATAGATTGTACTTGTATAGTATGTATAAGTATGTACTTAAATATACAGTATATATATTTAAGTATATGTACTTAAATATATATTATATATAAGTATGTACTTAAAGGCAGAGTTTTGAATAAGGTGGTTTCTTTTTGAGTTTCAGTTTGCGATTTTGTGACACTCTGCGAGAAAATCGAATGCGCAGTTTCCGAATTCTATCGATCTCACGTCCAATATTTTTAATTAACATTAGTTTTGAATGAAGTACTGTGAGTCATCTTCAGTTTCACTTGTAAAATAAACAGCATTGTCACATGTCCTGCAGCATTTTTTATTTACAATAGTTTTATTGCCGGCTGATATCTCGACGTTTCTTCTCTAATGTGAGATAACGGAACACGATCACGTTCGAAATTGACGTGGAGTCGTGAAAATGTCAAAATTTTTACTCGGATGCGACATCGATCCATTTATCCAATCAGTCCGAAATTTTCCACGTGTCATTGTGACACCTTATTACAGGTTTAGAACATAAGGATCATCCTAGTGTATGTACAATTAGTAAATAAAGATTTTTAGTGATAATATTGAGTAGTAATTGCATTATGTTAGCCTGTATAATCATTTTATATTTTAAAATGTTGTACGAGTTTCCATTCAGTAATTTTGTAATTATTTAACTTCATCTCATATATCTGGAGAAAAAGATACGAAAATTTATTTAAAATATAAATTTGAAATGTAAGAATTATATCCTACTAATTTCTACAATTACAATATTAATTTCGGGTTCTGCAGTCAATTCTCAAATAGATTTAAAAAAAAATTGTTATTCTTAACATTAACTTTCATATTAAGAACTGTTTCTGAGAATAGAAGAATTCGTATTTTTACATTTATTTATTTATGCTATATTTAAATCCTAATACTTGTTCAGCTAATTTATATATTTGTTCATTATATAAAAGAAATTTTCGTTTTTATAAAGAAATTTATTTCATTTATCCAATAAGAAGAATTATTATTACATTTTCGTTATTGGATTTCACTTTTTGCTAGGACTTTATTCAAAAAATTGAACAATTGAATATTATTTTTCAAATAATATAAACTTATTTACTTTAATAAATTTATGGTATTCGTCACACATGTTGTAATCTGTCATCAGTTATCAGTGGATTATAAATCCATGTCTAATTATTATATAATACCTTCTATATAATCTTAATTTTGTTGTTAATAATATTCTTATTAATATAATTCTTATATGAAGAATTGAAGAAACAGCAATAATTAATTTTATATCTAATAGACATTAACATATAATTCTTAAATTAATTATTATTAAATTCATATAAAATTTATTAAATATAAATTTTATTATATATATAATTCGTAATAAACCATATCTTCCTAATTTTAATATAATTGAAGCTGAAATTATTGAACTAAAAAATGAAGCTTCAACATGAGCTTTTAATAATCATCCATGAAATATATATATTGGAATTTTTACTAAAAAAGATAAAATTATATAAACAAATTTTAAATTATTAATATTCATAATGTTTAATATTTCTAAAATATAAAAATTTAATCTGTTAAATAAATTTAATAAATTAAATAATAAATAAAATATTAATTTCATAATGAAACTGCAGAGAAATATTTCATTACGATATTTTAGAATCTTTTTTTTTTTAGTTTTGTTTTTAAAATTGATGTGACTGATCGAAGAGTACTTAGAGAGAATGTAGTCTCCATTGAAGTGACATATATAAAATTGAATTTCATGATAGATACCCACTGGTTTCAACAAAAAAAAAAATTGGCAAGAAAGTATGTAACAGTATTGCGAATATTATGTTGTAAATATAATTATTATTGGTTGGAATATAATTGTTAGAAAATATAATTATACATTTGTTAGAAAATTACAAATAAATTAAACGTGCTTTTTGCGACTTTTATATTCCAGCTGTAAAAGGGTATTTAAATTCCAGGAAATTACACTGCGTGTAACATTTTCCCCGAATTTACATACATCTTTTCATTCTGGATTATGGGTGGTTCATCCACACTGAATATGAGAGATGAAAGCCGGAATGTTTATACCCAGTTCACTGGTCGAATTCGTTCCGCTAGCCCAAATTTACTAAGTTGATCAAATAGATCGTGAAACAGAATATGGTATTCTCCATTCTATTCTCTCGAAAAATACATTCTTTCATTCCGTTCCTTAATTGTTATTGATTGCAGAATTTTAATAAAGAACGCAGTAAAGATCGATCGAATCCACGGAGGTTGACTCGATGAAAAAATCGTCTGTATTTTAAACTATTACACCTTCGTAAAAGAAAGTCGTACGGTAATTCAGCTGGCCTCATTCTGACAGTTCTGTGTCAATTTTTTTTTTTTTTTTCAAAAGTATTTTTACGTCGTGTAGCAATTGGGAAAGCGAGGATACTTTTGTTTCCGAAAATTGTAAAAATTCAACTGTCCTGGAAACGTTGAATAATTTTTTCTTTTTACAATTGAATTTATCATGGTCTTAAAGATTGAAGTCTCCTTTTTACAAAGATCTCTTAAAACTTGCTGTATGATTTTTTTCTCGCCGTCCTATTGAACTTGGAACATTTAGGATCAAGCGAAACGTTAGAATTTCTTGAATTTTTGTCGTTTAATTTTGTGCGATAGAAAATAGTGAAAGAAAATCGTACAGAAACTTTTTAAGGATTGACTTTAATCTTCAAGATTATGGTAGATCTAGTTATGAAAAAAAATTTTCACAGTTTTTGTCAACAAAGGTATCCTTGCTTTTCTATATCCTGCTTAACGTAAAAATATCTTCAGGGGGAAAAAAAAATTTGAGGTCGATAAAATAGAGGTTCCACGAAATTTAAAATGAGGCCAACGATTTTATTTTACGATGTTTAATACCTGAAATATCAAACATTTTGAAATATCGATCATTTTTCATTGAATAATTCTTTCGTCCGCATTTGTAGATTTATTTATTTTGTTCAATATATATGTATCACAGAAATGCGAATTTGTTACTTCAATACTTTTAATATAACGATCAAAAATTATTGTTCTATAGAACAGTAGTATAGGTTAGAGTTCTGTGTGTTAAATACATTGCAACATTATATTACAAGTATAAATTAATTCGTAATTCTTTCTTTTTCAAAAATTTGTCGTTTATTTGTGAAAAACTGAAATACATTTTTGTCCGAAAAAGTAATCTCTGTGTACATTTCTATTATTGGTCAGTCAAATTTTGAAACTTCTCTCATAAAAGAATATAGTGATTTTGTATTAAAAAAAACTCACTAGTAACTTTCTCAAATCCTTGGGTTTGGAAGTGATCGAAACAAACGATAATCCGAGCATGAATAAGTTCGCAATTTATAGAATATATACAGAATATATAGAATATATTTATATAATTTATAGAATATGTATAGAATATACAGAATATATTTATATAATTTGTAGAATATATATAGAATATATTTATATAATTTATAGAATATATATAGAATATATATAGAACATATTTATAGAATATATATTTATAGAATATATTGCTTCTTTTGTTACATAGTTGTGCATTTATCGCTTGAAATGCATACAGAGAATTTAGTGTTAGGTGACATTCTTGTGCCCAAGTACAGTAGAATCCTATTTAACCTCTTGCGCTGGAATGACCAAATCACGCACGTTGAGAATTTTTTGTCCCAAATTGCAACATTTTCTCAGTCTTAAGTGTATTGAAATACAACCTAGGCAAACCAAATAATAAATTTATTATTTCTTAGTAATTTCTACCCAGCGATATATCGATGAATTCAAAAAGAAGACGAATTAACGTATACGATTTGGTCGCTCGTTATGGTCCGTCAACCAGTTACTGACGCAAGAGGTTAAGTGTCCACAGTGTAGGACCGAAACGGATGTTTAAGTGGGAAGGTGAATTGTGCCGAAATATCAGGTATCACTCGCTTTGTATTATACAAGTGTCATGTTTCACGCGACCTTCGACAAGTCTCACACGGTAATGTAGCGCAGAGTGAGGGTAGTACTAATTCCAAGAATTGGTGAAAATAACGACGGACTCTTAAATGGGGAAAAGTTTAGACGCTCGAAGTGTGGATTATTGTATTTTGTGTGGTTACAACAGCTTTCGTTTGTTTCGTCTTTCAACTCTGACATGAAGTTCTTGAGAAATTCGAAGATTTCAAACTTGGAATTAAATTAAATTAATTGTGAGGTCCACGAACTAATTTACCGATAAATTCCATTATGTTGTTCATACTCGATACTGGATCCTCTTTTAATCTTTTAGTTAAATCAAACTCTCCTTTTCTCGTTTCACTTGTTTTTCTTTGTTGAAGTGAAGTTCACTAAAAATGGCTGTTTCGTATGAATTGTGACAAGGGAATGTTTAAACACGCGCTTTTAACTAGAATTTTCTGCGCAGTTACATTTAGAATATAACGGCTGAAACTTGTTAAAAATTTGGCTAACGATTTGATTGTTATAGCCGAGTTTTTTTTCTGCGTAATAGCAGCGTGGTACGAGCCAAAAGAATATTTGTACGCTTAACCGTGTTTAACGAATGTCACGGCATTCGTGATTTACGAAATCAGTTTTGTGAAATTCGATTACTTTAACAATGTACTCTTGAATTATGATTTTATACATAGGATTTACGATATTGTAGATACACATATTAATGAAAGAAGTATTGGATACTTAAATAATTCATAAATCGTATATTGTATATATTATATCAGTTATAAATAATTAAATAATAACTTCGATTTTAATTGATCTGAAATTAATTCTGAATTCTGTCCAAAAATTTTCAAACGTTTTTCGTTGATAATTGTAAAATAACTGAAAGTTCCAATTTTTTTTCGAGATATGTATTTATATACATAAATGTGACTTTCAGCTTTATATTTCAATTTTTTTCGTTTTTCTTAAACTAAAGAAAATGTTGAAAAATCATGGAGTTAGTCTTTCTCTTCATTTCGGTTATTAACCTTCAAAGCTACAGGAAATTTTTGAAATTTTTGAAATTTCTGAAATTGAAAACTTTCTATTGATCAATTATCTAAAATGTGATGTATCATTTTTCAGTTATTCGATTTGTAAAAATTGATTTTTCTCGGGAAGAACAGTTTTTACTATTTCAATCTATTGCCACGTTTATGATTTTTATGCAGTTGTAGAAAATTTTAAAATACAAAATCGCAAGGATAAGATATTTAAATTACAATACTTTTTTTGATGTTTGATGTAGAAAACTTTTCTACCGATTGTTAATTATTTTGCATGAAAATCCGTATTTTTGATGATTTACGCGCTATATTTTCGGCAGTACAGTTCCATTTACAGATCAGTAGGAATTTTTTGCTTTAAACGCTTCAGTCCTTTGAAACGAACTTTCCGAAACTAATGAATGGTTCCGTCATTTTGTTACATTTTGCTCTAAAAAAAAAAGATCAGATTCACGTGCTCTGCAAAATTACGATTTTTCTCCATCTAATTTTTGATAGTTCAAAATATTCCACCTCTGTGACAAATTCGACAAAAACTTCAATCGATTTTCTAAATTTTGTTCTTTACATTTTTAGCTCGGATTTAATTTTCATTACTGAAACACATTAAATAACACGGGAGATCGTTTTTAACATAGGAACTATCTTTAAATGTGTCAAAGGATTTGTAGTTTTTAACAGAAATAGCAGATTCTAAAACATCCTTTTTGACGCAAAATAAATTTATTATTTATCAGTGTTCGATGAGTCTTTTCTCAATGCATTGAACGTATAATATAATCGCGTATAATATAATATGACATTATCGCGGATTTAGTTAACCATTCTATTTGTTGAAATAGTACGTTGAAATGATTTTAGAATTATGTGTATGCTATTTTGTTTTCTAGGAACATTAGTTTCAAGTCTTCAACGTAAAATTTTTCTAATTAGTGCTAGTATATGAAATAACTAATAACTAGTATAATATGACAATATTATTATCAATATTGATTATTCATTAATTATTATTTATCCACGTATTCTTTTATTTTTATCAATAATATTAATCTATTAATATTAAAATTAATCTAACGCAATGAAATTAGATTATTATTAATGTATAATGATAAACACATTGTTATATATTTTACTACATTTTATATACTTACTTTATATTGTTGTTATATTCTATAATATTTTACTTAATTACTATATTACAAATAATATATAATAATACAAACAATGATGGCACTTGAGTCTCTATACGTAGGAAAAAATTCTAATCGCGTGATTCAAAATTCCTAATTTTTAAATTTTGCGAGTTATTCAAAAATAAATTTTTTTTAAATTCAGTGTGATTTAGCCTCGAGTATATCTTGATGTTTTGAAAATCTTGAGATTCGGATAAGATCCGCGAAATGATCGCCGAGTGTCTTAAAATGAAAATTCGAGTTAAAATACGTTTATTTATAATTTAATTAAAATTTAATTTAACTCAAAGATGAATATATATTGACAAGCACAAACTTTTATTGCATTTCTTTATCTATGTATAATTACTATCCTAACGTACTTGAAAA